TGCCCAACCTTCCTTCCGAGGAGTGGCTGGTGGGTTTGAACCGCCAGCCTTCTGGTGAGCAGTCAAGTGCCTTAGGCACTATGCTACCAGAGCCCCTTTAGTAGGCATTAGATATCTGCATTTATGCTCAATATAATATGTGAGGTGCTTAGCATAGTACATGTCAAGTGCCTCACCCTGCCTACCCCCTTCCTCATCCAACCCTAGAGCCTCGGTTACCCACTTCCACTAAGTTGAAAAATACATCCCAGGAGGCAAGAAGGCCCAGCTTGGCTTGTATTTCTTATTTACCCTGAGCATATCAATTTAGACTCTGAGTTTTGATTTCTTCATCTCTGAGAGAAAGGGGTTTGATCTTCTTCCAGGATTCTCTTAAGTCTATAATTCCAACTCTAGGGAAAAAGCACCTAAGATTCCTAAGTCAGAACCCACTGGACTGGACAGAGGGCATTTCTCATGTAAATAATCTGCTAAAGCAGCTTTCTCTCAACCATTTTGTTTGGCTGAAAAGAGCACCCTTACGTATTTTCATTCCTCAGAAGACCACCAAGAATGAACCACAGGAGTCTCAAGATAATGATTATATTTCTTATTTTACTTCTACATTAGAAATGAAAATAAACTGTGAGAAGCAGAAAAAGCATGCAACTTCATGAAGATTGTGGAGGAATGGACGTACCCCCATTGGAGGTTAAAAGTGGCTTATCCTATAGGGAGGGCAAGGACTACACACACAAAGACTACTGATAGCATATGCAATGTAGAATTTACACGCCAATGAGAAATTTAAAAACAAAGGGGCCACCTCTGACCTCTTAGCCAGAGAGGATGGATGAGAAGACATCAGAAGATGCCTAAACTCTCTACAAACACGGGTTTTAAAAAAATTAAGCCTGTAAAACCAAGATACGCAGGCAATGTTGAAATCTGCTCTTAGGAGGAGATCCCCATTTTATGATGTTTGAACACATTCTTTCTCCTGCTGGATAGCTGGAAAAAATAAAATAAAATAAATTCATTAGAAGGGTGTTTTCCTATGATTAAGTTTAAACCCCCAAACCAAACCCACTGCCATCAAGTCAATTCCAACTCACAGTGAACTAACAGAACAGAATATAACTGCCTGTAGAGTTTCCAAGGCTATAAATCTTTCCAGAAGCAGACTGCCTCATCTTTCTCCCATGGAGTGGCTGGTGGGTTGAACCACTGACCTTTTTGTTAGCAGCCAAATACCTTAGCCACAGCACCACCAGAGCTCCTTAAGGTTAAGTTTAATTTCTTCCAAAAGAGCTTTTTTGCCAAGCTATAAAAGGCTGTCATGCATTATGCTTTAAAGTTAGAAAGACGAGGTACTTGATCACAAATCATCACAGTGGGTGTATGTGTGCTTGTATGTGTGTATTGTGTTAACCACCTGAACACTCATTATTAGAATCTACATTCACCATTTTTTCTTTTTCCATTTGAAAGGTAGATATATGGTATTGCCATATTTTCCCATAAATATTCTGAGGTTGAGGAGCAACTGAAGTATTTGCTTCAGATTTCTCTATCTCTGTGTGTTTAGGAAAGTAGACCCTTTGAGACAATTTTAAGTAACTCTGGAACTCTCAAATAATAGTGGCATGTAAAAAAGTGCCCCTTTTGTGGAGACACTTAAGAGTTTCACCAACAGGCTGTAACTCAAGAGGGCAAAACTGATCCCTTGAATCTGGGAGCTTTGAGTGTCCCCAAGATCTAAACGTGATCTTCTGCCTTATTTTTGTTGTCAGATAGGAGACCAAAACCTCAGAGTTTGTCCAGTTCTTTAGGGATGAGATCAAGGACCCAAATTATTAGACTAGAAAAATGCCAAATAATCATAAATTGGACACAACTAAGATTTTCTGAGCACTGTGTCCACTCTTTCAAGATTGGTTTTAATAATTTTCCACCAAGAAACTAATTTTTTATTTCCCCATTACTAGCAGGGACTATCATATAAAAGAACCACTTTTATAACCCAAGTCAGGAGACAACTGTTTTTGGTATTTTTAACTGTTTCATTAAATACTATGAATCTCTCTGGCTTACTTTGTGGTAAAATTTACTTCAAGAGTTTATTCGCTGAAACTATCAACCTTTACCATTGTTTATCCCCACTAGAAAACCCTCATAACTTACTCTCCTTGGAGGGAAGAGTATTTTTTTCTTCAGTATTGGTTTTCTTCAGTTTTGATCGGTCAAACTTCTCCACTTCGGACAAGTCTGGCTTATCACTCATCTTGCCTAGAGTAACAACAACAACAAGAACAACAACAAAGAAAAAACTTAAGTAGCAGAACTATTATTACAGCCAAATTATTATCAGAGCCAACTATATCACTATAGCCACTTAGTATCAATGTGTATTTTACCTGATGATTTCCAATAGGAAAACAGCAACAAATCTTAGAAAAGCTGTGTTTCTATTAGGATATTTTCAATTCCCCATCACCAGTTCACTTCTGATAGGCAGTAAATGCTTTTTGGATCAAGATGCACTAGAAACCAGGAGCCAATATGTCTGACTCTTAAAATCATAGCAAAGGTAAAATGGAGGTGGTAGAAGAGCAGACAAGGACGGGAGAAAAAAGATCGACTGGGTTTAACCAGCAAATGATTTTGTAACAGGAGATAGCAGTATTTGAACACCATTACTTTCTATTCAATCTTTTTGATCTTTTTACCTGGCAACAGAGAGAAGTACACAAAAAGCATAGCATAAGTTGTACTAGTTTCTTTCCAATTTACCTGCTCAAAGATAGTAGATTTAAGGAGCTACAATAAAACAGTAAGAAAGGGAGGGGAATACAGTCATAACAAATTACATGTCTCACAACATCTCCTGGTGGCACTGATTTGTAAACGCTGTAAGAAAGGGTTAGCAAATTAGATCCAGGCCTTGACCAGAATGGGACAGACCAAATAGAACTGAGTCTTATTTCAGTCTTTTTTCTCCGCAAAGGAAGAGGTGAGATGAGGCTCTGGACATGATGCAATGCCTGGTGCCCTGGGAACATTAGAGTTTGTCCGGAAGAGACAATAGGAAACTCCAGAAACTGGAAAGCAGCGCTCTGCTGGGCGTTCCTTGGCCCCACCCTGGTGGGACAAGACATGTCTACTGCCCAGAATAGAATGGAGAAACTCTCAATCAGCCAGAAGTCCCGAATATGCCTCCACCCAGTCGAGGTCACCCTAAGACCTCCTTTGCCCAGCGATCAGATGCCAATCTCCAAAACTGAGGAAACTATGATTAATATATAAATAACAACGGAGCTGGGCACCTAGCCACTCAGGAGCGGCCCTTCTAGTACCCTCGGAGCCCTACCCCTCCCACTCCCGGGATGGCGGAAGGGGGGAATCTGCATCGTCGGCAAAAGGCACCGCCTTAGAAGACAAAGGCGCTGACTTGCCTAGCGGCGCAGATACCAAACACCAGACCCAGCCCTGGCCCCTCAAACTTCCTAAGGCCCCACATACGATCCACCCCGCTGCGCCTACGCTCTCAGGTCTCCCACGTCCTCTGGCTCCCAGCAGGTCCGCCCGCACATCCTCACCTGAAGCTTTAAAGATCCGTTACAGGACAAACAGTGGACTGATAAGCCTCTCACTCTGGGCAAGGTTAGCGTTCCCGCGCAGAACCCTGCAATTATAAGCCAGGAAGAGGCCCCGCCCCCGTCTTCTCTGATTGGTTGAGGGATCACAGGCTCACTCCGCGCCCCCACATCCCCGCCTCTCCCTCACTTCAGCTTTGCGGGCCTCCACCCTCAGTCTCCTCTCTACTTCGGACCTCACCTCCTACAACAATGTCTCCTTGAGTCATATTACACCCCGCCTTTCCAGACCTCCCTTCACCCCTCTGATTGGCCAAGAGATCACTGGCTCGCCTCCCTGGTCCCTCCCTGCTTTGGTCTTGAGGGTCCACTTGGCCTCCATTCTAAGCTTACTTACTCCTTTAAGATAATTGTAACCTCTACAATAAACAAGAGGCATCTTGCCCAGATGACTTGTAACCTCTGCAGACTCTGAGATACAAGCTGAATCAGCCTAAATCAGGCTCTCTGGATTTTTATAGAAATAGCAGTGGGAGTACGCAGTGATGACCAAACAGTGGTTTGAAAGTAGTGCTCAGTGTTGTCTGTTCTGACGTTAGTGTCCAGGTCGTGCAGAAGGCGTGCTCATGATGAGTGTGGGTGGTTCGTAGACATTCACTTCTAAAGCTGGATGTTTCTATGACAGTGGTACTCTCCTATGTAAAAGTCACATTTTCAATTTTCTCAGCCAGTGAATATGATAGCAGTCAATTTAGGATGGTAA